GGAGGAGGACCCAGGGGCCCTGGGCGCAGGCAGCGGTGCAAGGAGCCCACTCTTGGCCCCGGGTGTCCAGGAGGGCATCCCTGAGGGCCAGTGTGTACCTGCTTCAAGTAAAGCAGCTGCACCTCCCACAACCCCTAAACCCACCAGCATCACCCCTGTGAGGTGGGCTGCTGCACAACTCTGGGGCTCAAGACATAGGCTCCAGAGCAAGACTTTTTAGGTTCAGACCTCAACTTTACCGCTGCCTGGAAAGGCTCCTTCGCCTCCCTGAGCTTTGATGGTCTTATCTATAAAACGGGCATGATGAAACTGGGGTTTTAAGAGTGAATCCTTTGGCAAATCCTCAGTAGCTGTGACACTCTGGTGTTGGAGAGCCTTGTGAAATTGATGTGGAATTGATCAAAGCAGATGAAAGAACCTGACCTTAAAGTCAGGAGACCGGAATCCAACACCAGGTTTGTGGGAGCGACTGTGTTGCTGTGAGGTCCTAAGAGCTCATGCACCGGGTATCATTTCAATGGACTCTTCCCACAACTCTGAGTTGGAAGGCTCAGAGAGGTTAAGTGACCTGCCCATGCCACACAGCTGGGAAGTGATAGTGTTGACCTCCAACAATCCCCGAGCATGTTAAGATGGCATGACAGGGTGTGAATGAACATTTCAGTGCAGGGTGGCAACCCAGGCTAGTGGCCAGAGCTTTGAAGTCAGACCCAACCTCTGCCATCCTGAGTACCCTTAACCCCTCTAAGTCTCAAAATCCCATACTGCTTGCATGAGATCTCCATCACCACACTGAGTCACATCTAATGACTGTCCCAGAAAGAATGAATTTCTTAGACCCCCACAATAATTGTCCCCATTTTACAGATGGGACCACCTAAATTCAGGGAGGTCAAGGAGCTTTTCCCGGGGTGGGGGGACTGGGGGAACGTTGTTCAGTGAGCATAAAGTAAGTTACACAAGGTAAGTTCCAAAGGTCTGCTGTACAACACAGTGCCTGTGGGTAACAGTAAGGCATTCTTGACTTAAAATTTTGTTGGGAGCATAGACCACATGGTAAGTGTTCTTACCACACACAACAACAAATAAACAAAACAAACACAAGGCAACTTTCGGAGGTGATGGAAGTGCAAATGTCTGGATTGAGGTGATGATATGTGTATCTACAAATCGTGTATATTAACTATGTGCAGTTTTTGGTATACCAGTTATTCCTCAGCAGAGCCGGAGGCTGTGGGGAGCTGCTCCATGAAGTGGCTGAGCTAGGATTTGAGCCTTGCTCCCTATGCGTGCCCCTCAGCCCTGCGCCATGATCATGGATTAGACACAGTGTTGATGGCTATGAGTCACCCAGTCCAGAGCCCCTGGCATTCCCTAGGAGCTCTGTGAATGGAGTTGCTTCAGCACCCTGGCCCCTCCCTGGAGAGGACAGAGCAGGGCAAGATGGTGTAAGCACAGTCATTTACCCTGACACCCTCATCACGGACATCATTGAGTTAAAACCCTTGAGGTCCTTGCTTTAGGGTCCCTCAAGCAGCATCATCTCTTGGGAGTTTTTCAGAAATGCAGATTCTCAGGCTCTGCCCCAGACTTCTTGAATCAGAAATTCTGGCGTAGGCCCCCAGCAATCTGTATTTTAACAAGCCCTGCTGATGATTCCGATGTGCACCCCAGCTTAAGAACCGTTGTTTTAAACCCTCACTACTCAGAACGTGGCCTGTGGGCTAGGGGCATCGACATCACCTGGCCCAGCCCGGGCTTACTGGATCAGAATCTGCATTTTTACAAGATTCCCCCAGAGGCTCTGTGTGCACTTTGAGAGCTGTTGTTTTGGATGCCCTTGACAATGGTGACATAGAATGTGAAGGTCGCCCATCAAGAGCAGAGGTATAGCTCAATTGAGGCTCCTACAACCCCCCCTCACTTGGGTTCCATAATGTTAATTTTACAATCTCCCTGGAGTGAGTTCAGAGCAAAGTTTTATGTGATATGATTACACAAGGTGAATTGTCCTCCTCTGTTTAATGAAACAGATACTGTGTCTAATGATTCTCTGGGGTATTAAGTAGAGTGAAGCTGTTAATCAGGCCCTGGTTCCTCCCATCAGCAAGAAGGTGGCTGGTGCCGGGCCGGGCCACCTGTACCTCCAGGCACACCTGTGCGAAGGTTCCACAGAACCAGCACGTGTCACCCCTCTCCTGTGACTTTGTTTCCCAATTCGCAGTCAGCAGTCAGTGACCAGGCATCCTGAGCTAATCCTAAGCTTTTGCAAATGTTCCCTCTTCTTTCCAATGAAGTCGTTTAGGAGTTTTGAGGGAAGACACTTTGCCACAGGAGGGCGTGAGGTAGGCAGACACAGCTGCTGACACAGCTTGGGTGCCTCTGGTGTTCTTGGAAGGAAGCTCGGGCTCAAACCATGGGGCACGTGGGAGTCTCAGGAGATGCAGGAGGGCCAGCAGCACCACATATAATCATAACAGTCACCAGCATATCCCGAGCACCTCCTGTGTCCCATGTGCCATGCCAGGACGTCTGCGGACCTTAGCCTATCCAGCCCACAGCATCTGTTGGAGGGAAGCTCATCAGGATCACTCCTTTGCAGTTGGGTACACTGAAACTCAAGGCCGAGTACTGCCTCTTAAGGTCACACGGCTCCTGTGAGAGGAGCTGAGTTCTGAACCCCGCAGTGTGGCTGCAGAGTCATTAGCGAACAGACCCTGCATCTCAACAACAGCCTGAAGGTGACGTGGGTGGTAGGCAGGCCAGGAGCCAGGCTTCTCAGGGCCTAGAGCTAAAAAGGCTGGAGCTGGTTGGATCAGGTGCTCATAACGGGTTCTCTGAGTTGGCAGGAGACACGCTTGGTCTGGGATAGATAGATAGGGGTTCGAGCTCTGCCTTGAGCAGTGACCGTGTGTGCCTCTGCCTCTAGCTTCCTTTTCCCTGTGTCTACAGTCGGGCTGGTAATCCCTCCCCTCTGGGCCCCTGGAGAGCACAGAACGAGCTCATTCACACAAAGTGCCCACTGTGGCCCCTGACACCCAGTGGGTTTTCAGGCAACCTGCATCCCCTTCCTGCTCCCAGGCAGAGTAGCCTGGTGTCCCACAGAGGTCTGCAGCCAACAGGGTCTCTATGTCATCTCCATCCCATCTGCATCCACAACTGGAGCACCTGAGCCCCTGAGGAGCCCAGCATCCCTTCCTTTTCCTCAAGGGCCACCCTGCAGCCCCCTCAGCAACTGCCTGAGCTGATGAGATATGACCAAATCTCAAAGTCTGAACCTGGGGGGTGCTGGGTGACCGAGCACCATCTCCATCACATGGGCTTCTCCCGAGAGAAAAGCAGCTGTCCCAAAACACCAGGGACCTTGACTCGGGGACCCTGTGAAGGGACTCGGGACTGGGGAAAAGCTGAAAGAGGAAAACAGACCCCACACATGCTAAATTTTTTTCTCATCACTCAGATACATCTGGTCTTGACCCATTATAACAGTACGGGCCCAATTAGCCAGACACATTGTAAATAATCTATTCTAAGGATAAAGCATATCCTTGTCACTAGCATAAATATTTCCCAAGCAGCCATGGTGTTCCAGGGGGACTGGGGGAGCAGGAGTCTCCCCATGGATTCTGATGTGTTCCGCCAAGAAAAAGAGCCCTTCATCACGTGGTAAGTTGGCAGTTGGGAATTTTAATTTAGTTCAACAGCCGTTCACCGAGCTCCTGCTGCGAACAAAGCAGTGGGAGGCAGGTGGGGGGGAGTGTGGGGGAGGCTGCCAGTGCCTGGGAGAGATCAAGATCCTCATGGACTCAGGCAGGCCTGATGTACACATGTGGCACTTTCTGAGCATGTGGCCATGAGCAAGTCGCCTCACCTCTTTGAGCTTCTTTGAGCTTCCGTTTCCTCCCTGTTGATGGGGGTCCGTAGTGCTTTCTCTTTCAGGGTGGTCAACAGGATTCCACAAGATCATAGGTATCCATCACCAGGCAAGAGGTTAGGATATAGTTGTTAAGAACCAGCTGGGCTCCCCTACCAGGCCCGGGGGTGCTCTGTGACCCTCACTCAGGGAACAGATGCCTCCTGTTGCCCCTCTGAGGGTGCCGGTAGCATTTGACCTTTGAGAAGCAGTGGGCTTCCATGGAGGGTTTCGGAGCGCCTGCCCTGCAAGATTCCAGCTGGGCTCAGACTGCAAGTCCTGTCCTTTGTTCCCAGCATCCTCCATGTCCCCTTCCACAGTGTCCCCTCTCCTCCTTCTGTGGGAGTTTCAAGGGCTGCAGGGCCCGACTGCCTCTCTCCTTGAGGTCCTCCCCAGGTCGCTCCCGTGCTACCTGTAACCTGCCTTTAAATCAGTCCCCAACAAACACCCCTGCCCCCATTGGGGTGACGAGCCATCCTGTGGTTTCATCATGACAAGGTAACAAGATACAGAGAAAATAGTGCGTGATACTTCAATGAAGAGCGGAGAACAAAGACAGAACAGAAATGTGCAAAGGTGGCAGGATGAATAATCCCTCATACACCTTGCCTGCAGACAGCTCAGTCTGCTGGACAGACAGACAACCTGAGTGGGGGTTACAGCACCATGTAGTTAATGCTGAGGGGGCATGGGTGGAAGGAGACTGGGCTGCAAAGTCAGGTGAGGCACCTGCCTGAGCCCGAAGTATCAGAGAAGAAGATATCTTACCCCAGAGAGGATAACGCTAGCAATAATAATAGCCAACAACCATTGAGCACCCACTGGCTTCTAGCCACTGTGCTAAAAACTCGATACATTTTATCTACTTTGTACATCTGTGAGGAGATACAGCTACTACACAGGATAACCTGGTAGTTAAAAGCCCAGACTTTGATGCTAGACTGCTTGGGTTCAAATTCTGGCTCTGCCAATTATTAGCTGTGTGACCTGGAGCAAATTACCTTAACCTCTCTGCGCTTCAGTTTCCTCTTTTGCGAAATGGGGATAATGATAATACCTACCTCATAAGGTTGTTGGGAGGAGTAAGTAGAAATCAACAGTGATATTAACATGCGTTAATAAGTAATATGTATAATTATAGCATCTATAATATAATGAATATATATTAATGTACGTAACATACACTATATTAAGATATTGTCTATTATATTCAAGCAACACATATTTATATGTAAGGCTGTGCTTGGCTTAGTTAGCACCAAACAAGTATTGTTGTTACCCCCAAGGAGAAGGGAGGGCTAAGAATATTCGAGGCAGAAGCAGCATTAAGGTGGGAGGTATCAGGGTGTTTCAAGATATAAAAAGGGCTCGGTGGCTCAGCCTGTAATCCCATGCTTTTGGGAGGCCAAGGTGAGTGGATTACCTGAGCCCCCGGGTTCGAGACCCGCCTGGCCAACTTGGTGAGACCTCGTCTCTACAATAAATCAAAAAATTAACCGGGTATGTAGCACGTGCCTGTAGTTCCAGCTACTTGGAAGGCTGAGGCAGAAGGATCGCCGGAGCCCAGCAGGTTGAGGCTGCGGTGGCTGGGAGCGTGCCACTGCACTCCAGTCTGGGTGTCAGAGTGAGACTCTAACTCAAAAAAAAAAAAAGATATAAAAGGAGTGAGTCATGTTATTACTTTTTTTTTTTTTTTTTTGAGCTGGAGTCTCACTCTGTCACCCAGGCTGGAGTGCAGTGGCATCCTTATGGACACCACAGCCTCCACCTGCTGGGCTCAGGTGATCCTTCTGCCTCAGCCTTCCAAGTAGCTGGAATTACAGACACATGCCACCATGCCCAACTAACTTTTTGATTTATTGTAGAGATGAGGTCTCGCCAAGTTGCCCAGGCTGGTCTTGAACCCCTGGACTCAGGCAATCCTCTCACTTCCACCTCCCAAAGTGCTAAGATTACAGCCACTGCACCTGACTTGTATTGTTATTCTTTTTTTTTTTTTTGAGGTGGAGTTTCACTCTGTCACCTAGGCTGGAGTGCAGTGGCATACTCACGGCCACCCCAGCGTCAGCCTGCTGATCTCCAGCGATTCTTCCACCTCAGGCTCCCAAGTAGCTCGAGCTACCATGCCCAGCTAATTTTTTATTTCTTGTAGAAATGAGGTCTCGCCAAGTTGTCTGGGCTGGTCTTGAATGCATGGGCTCAGGCAATCCACTAGCTTCAGCCTCCCAAAGTGCTGGGGTTATAGGCTGAACAGGAGCTCGGCCTGTTGTTATTCTTGTTGTGTTAGTTGTGTTGTGCTGTGAGTAACATAACCCCTGCTGGCACCCTCAGACCGGGCCTTTGGAGCGCCTCCTCCCTCTGACCGTGCCCTTCTGTCTCTCCTCAGAGTGGCCGGAGTTCGTGAGAAACTACGCCCCGTGGTGGGCCACTCACACGTTGGACTGGCTCAGGTTCGGCAAGAAGGTGCTAGTGGTGCACTTTGAGGACTTGAAGCAAGACCTGTTTGTGCAGCTGGGCCGAATGGTTGGCCTGCTGGGCGTGGCCGTCAGGGAGGACCGGCTGCTCTGTGTGGAGAGCCAGAAGGATGGCAACTTCAAGCGCTCGGGCCTGCGGAAGCTGGAATACAACCCCTACACGGCCGACATGCAGAAGACCATCTCCACCTACATCAAGATGGTGGATGCAGCCCTCCGGGGGAGAAACCTCACGGGCGTCCCCGATGACTACTATCCAAGATGATGCTCCAGCACGGGGGTGGGGGGTGTGCTAGGAGTCCTGCCCAAGCAAGCCCTGGGGACCCGAGAGCCCCAGGGACCCCCCCCACAGTGATCTGGCCTCTCTTTAGTGTGGGGACAGTCCCCTTGGCTGCAGTTTGCCTTAGTGAGTTTCCTGCATGACAAAGGAGGCTCAGGGACCATCCTACTCACATGCTTCCCTTGGAGAGGTGGGGCAGTTGGTTGGGGGGGGCGTCCGGTTGTGTGGACCCTTTTCTGTCCTCTGTGTCCCTGTTCCCGCCACTCTCGGTTCCACTTGTGGGAGGGAGGGCTCGTTGTTATCACGGACACATGCTGGACTCCCCACGGCAGGCATTGAGGACCTTGATATACAAGCTGGAGGGCCTTGTATAAACATCCTTTCTGGACCGAGTTTTCATAGCCCCTCTTCTCGTCTCCACCCAGGAGATGCTGGCACTGGCATTCAGCCCAGGTCACCTTCTGTTTTAAAGACAGATTGCTGGGAAGTTTCTCCATACCTTAGATTGTGTAGGGTGGGAGGCAGTGATGCTCACAGTAGGTTCATTGGCACTACCGTGTGGGGGCCCTGGCACAATCATCCCACCCAGACCACGTTGCTTCTGAGAGACAAGCTGGTTGCCTTTTTGCCTGCAAGGCTCAAATCCTGCCTTGTTCTGTCCAGGAGGTGACTTGGGGTCCTTGATCCCACATCTAGGAAACCTCAGGCACCAACAGTGAACCCATGAGGATGGTCACATGGCATGTGCATTAAGAGTAAGAGCTCCAAGGACATATCTTTCCATTGTGGGATCCAGCACTTCAGTCTTACACTGCCCTTTGATCCCTATCGATGGTTCCTCTGTTGTCCAGGCAAGAGATCAGGACTGCCCCAAGTCTGGTGGAACTATGCCCCAAGTGGACCCCACTACCTTTCCAGATCACCAACTTCCTCTTGGTCGGAGTCCAACAGGGCCAGTGTCCAGCTTCCCTTGGGGGCCCTTTAAGGAATGGGGTGGGCGGGGTGGCTTGTCTTGTTCATACAAACACTGCTCTCTTGATGCTGAAACACCAAACCAAAGGATTTCTGAGGCCCTGAGTCACAGATCAGCTGTCTTATAGAGCATTGATCTGGGGTCTATCTCTCCACCCTGGATCCTGGTGGCTTCCCTTCCAGCCCACCCATGCGTCATGCCCCACCACGTAGATGCAAAAGCCATAGGTCACAGCCTCTTTGCGATTCTGTCTGGAGCAGCCACCCTACACTGTCCTTCTGGAGCCTTGGTGTGCGGGTCAGTGCTCGTTCCCAAACAGCAAAGAGACTATGGAGAAGGCGCATATAAAGAGATCTATTTTTGTAAGAGGAATATGATGAATACATTCCGCCCCTTGGATCCTGTGCCAAGAGAGGGGTGCAGGGGTTGGGCCTGTGGTTCTTTTCTCTGTCCTCCTCATCAGTGGGATTTGGGCCACCCCAAGGGCCACCTGGGGGGGAGGCTCTGAATGTATTTTGTACTGTGTTTCTTTTCCCCAGGTGAATTTATAGTCCTTTCACCAAGGGGTTGGCCTCCCTTCCACCTGGAGGTCTGCTCTCTCTGGAAGACTCTTGGTCCAAGACCTGGGCCAACTCTTTGCTGGTGGTCACTTCTGGTCACAAGCTTCTGTCTGATTTCTCAGGTCAGCACCATCATTAAATGCGAGTTTTGTTGATAATTCTACCACGTGGTAGAGTGTTATGTAAGGCAGGTTCACAAAGGGGATGTTTTCCCGGTGAGAGAGTGTGTGTGTGTGTGAGAGAGGGAGAGAGAAAGAGAGACAGACAAAGAGACAGAAAATTATACCTGGGGTGGGGGTTTGTTGCATAATTACTTTCATGTCTGCATAACTGGTGTCACTGGCTATGAATACCTACATGACTGTGCGTAAAATTGTCTTCATGTCCACCTGCCCTTCTGTGTTGGAAGACTGTGTCCCCCAAGTGGGTGTGACAACCTTCCCATTTTAACGTGTCTGTGTAGATGCATGGGGAGTTGTGCATGCATATGGGAGGACATATGTATGGGAACCCCGTGCGTGAGAAGATGCCAGTCTGTCTTCAGAGGGCATGTCTTCTCCATATACCTCTTGCCCTTGGCCACTGTGGGATGGAAGGTGCGGGTGGAAGAGATCACTAAAGGGTTGTGAATGTGTGCCTTCTTGGGGTGTGGAAGAGGATACCTATGCCCTTCTGTGTGTACCCGTGAGTGTGTCAATGTTACAGAGAAACCCTGAGTATGTGATGCTATTCAGGGAAGCCAATGAGAATACAAGAGAAGTCCCCTTCGTTCCCTAGTGGGTGGGTGTGAGTCTCAATTTCCAGATCCTGCTGAAGGAAGACCCTGTGTCGTCATGCATCAGAGGGGCTTCTGCGGAGAGATGCTGGAGCCCAGGGACTGCTTCCCAGCCAGATGGAGGGACAGGGTTTTCTATCCTGTTCCACGGACAATATGGAGAGAGGGTAGCTGGGATGGGTGGAGGAAGAAGATGGAGGAGCTTTTCCCCCTCAGCAGAAGAGCTCAGGAGGACTGGAAGTCTGGGGCCTCTGAGGTAGGGAGATGGGAGGAAGCTTTCAGAAGGAAAGATCTCAAGACGGGTATGAGGTCATTCCAGAACCAAGGGCAGGGTCTTTTTCTGGGGCATCAGGTTGACTCCTAAAAAATGTTCTGTGATACTGACTGAACTCTGATCTGAGCCCCGGGTTATGCTGATTTCAATATTAAACCAAGTCTGACCTGGTCACAGACTGAGCCCAATCCTAAATCTCTGAACCTGGATCACAGCTAAGCTCTGCTCCTGATTACAGACTCTGCCTGGGCACATAACTGATCCATGAACCTGGCCCCACATTAGACTGAGTCCCAAGTCTGCTCCTACATACACTGAGCTCTGACCCTGGTCATTGACTATGTTTCAACCTGGGTAATAGGCTGAGCCATGTCCTGCCCCAGAACAAATGCTGAAGTGTCTCCTGACTGAGCCCTAATCTCTATTATACACTGAGCCCCAGTCCTGACCCTGCATAAGTCCTGACTGTGGTCACTCTGAGCCCTAGCCCCAGCTTCTCCCCTGACCTCAGATCAAGCCTTGACTCTCATCCCAGGCTGAGCCCTGAACCAATGTGCCTATTTCCTGAGCCCTCTCCAAATATTATCTGTATAATCAAATCCTCCCAACTGGAAATGTGAGAAGCCCAGACACATCCAGCCCCAAACTCCTGGGTTCTCACAGATTCTGAGCCATAACTCCCTGGTCCTCCCCCAACAGATCATGGGAGGGGAGGGGGTATGGGGGGTTGTGAAAGCCCTTTAGGCCAGGGGTGGAGGTGATCAACAGCTTGGCAGCCTCTTCCCCGGCTGACCTTTGCCCTTCTGATCACACTTTAACAGCCACCTGGAATAAAATCTTCATGTTTCAGGCCTGGAAGCAGCCAAGCAGCATTCATTCATTCCACACATCCGCACATTTGCTGGGCAGCTCCCATGTGCCAGGCACTGCTCTTAGTCCTGGAAACTACAAGCGGAACAGACAAAAACTCCCAGTCCTGCAGTTTGCATTTTACCTGGTACCAAATAGGTGTCTATAAGGGATTAGAAGGCCCTTGGGGAGATGACGGTGAGATGAAGAAGGGAAAGGGCTTGGGGGGTTCCTGCTGACCCCATGCAGTGGGAAGAGCAGAGGTTACTAACTGCGTTGTACAGGCAGGCACACCAATGTTCATTCAAATGCTGTGACTGGCCTGAGCCACACAGAGACTAACGGTGAGCCAGGGCCACTGCCCTCTGCCCCAAGGACCTAAAAGTCCCCTCCACATGACAGAGTGGCAGGGCCCTTGCACTGGAGGAGGAAGGAAAGCTTTGAACGCAGCAATCCTCAAGGCAAGGGCAAGGCCTGGCCTGGAAACCAGGGCTTCTGGGCTCATCCTGCCATTACCTCTGACCCATGGTGGTTCTGGGACTTGAACACACAGGGTCCAGCAGTTTCTGTTTCCAGGGATGCCTTGTGGAGTCTTCAGTGACCGTGGAGGTGGGGACAAACATTTCCCAGTGGACAATGTGGGAGGGGGAAGGGGGAAGAGAGGGATTCTGGGGACAAAGCCCTGCAGAGACCCAGCCCCCCCCCAGAAGCCAGCCCCTTGCCTTCCATCCTGTTTCTTTCTCTTCCATCCCACCCCCTTCTCTCTACCTGTCTTCACATTGCCTCCTACTCTCAATTTCCCTCTTTGTGTCTCTGATTTCCTTCTGCTGTCTTTCTGCCCCCACTCTTCTCTTTCTCCCTCTACCCCCGCCCCCGTTTCATCTTTATCTTTCTTGATTTCTGTTTCTGTTTGTGCAAGTGTCCCTCCATCTCTCCCTCTTGGTACTTGATCTGTCTTTCTTTTTCCCTCTCTCCCTCCCCACCCCCGTTGCCTTCTCCTGTCTCCTCGTCATTTTCCTGGAGAGCGGGGGCGACTCATTGGGATCCAGACAACAGTGAGACAAATGCTACCCAGGCTGGTAACCAAGGAAGTGGTTTCCTTAGCAACAGAATCTGCAGGCACGCACTCCACTGCCCAGTCCCTTGGCTATTACAGCAAGGAGAGAGACAGAGGGAGGATGGATAGGGTAGGAGGAAGCCTTGGGACGGCACAGACACTGCTGTAGCAATCTTCATGAGAGGGGACAGTGCTCAGAGACCAGCTCAGGGCCTGGCACTTCAGGGACACTCAAAAATATGGAGGGGGGTGCTGTGAGGTCAGAGAGAAGCACAGGGAGTAGAGAGAGCTGGGGGAAGAATCCGTTGGACTTGATGACAGGCTGGATGTGGGGAGGAGGAGGTGACAAAGGAGACAAAGAGGACCTCAAGGTCCTGGCCTGGGCTGCTCCTGGGAGGAGAGTACTTTGACTGATACAGAAAACAGGCAAGAGGAGGGAGAGAGAAAAGATGTCGAGTTGACATGTCTCCTCCCTGCCCCCAAGAGTTCACCATCCAGTTGGTGGGGGCTGGGGGGAGGTAAGGTATAGAGACGACACAGAAATCTCTCACCTGGTTCTCCTTTCTAAATTACGACAAGGATCATGGGAGTAATAAACACAGCCCTAAGGGTAGTGAGAGGCTCAGGGGACTTTATTTTCTCGGGGGACAAATAAGTTGATGGCAGCACTTAGATTTGAACCTGGGGATGTCCCAGAGCCTGGCCAGAGATGAAAGAGATGGAAGAGGGCGGAATATGGAGAGACAGAGAATGAGAGAGACAGAGATTTAAATCATCTGGCACTTTTTCCCAATGGGAAAGCAAAAATATGTTCAATTTTAGAGAAATGAAAGGGGTGAGGGAGAAGACAAAAGTGCCCTACTGTATGATAGTTTTTGTGGCTATAAATAACTGTCCCCAAAGAA